ATGATTCATAGCCTCCAGATTATACAGTCCATCATCATCATCATCATCATCATCATCATCATCATCATCATCATCATCATCATCATCATCATCATCAAAGTTCCATCCGGTCAAAATTATAAAAATATTGACTGGTATTAAATAACAGATACTAGTTTTAACCAAAAAATCCTCCTAAGTATCTGTTAAATATTGGCGTAGTATTTATGCTGTTCCTAATACTGCCACTTTTTGGTAGCCGTGATGGTGACAATAATAATAATAATAATAATAATAATAATAATAATAATAATAATAATAATAATAATAATAATAAATTAGCACATGTGTCTTAATACAAATCTTCATGAAAGTTACACTCATTAGTTCTACTGATTTTAGATAAAAACAATGAAAAAGAAGTCACATGAATAACTACATAGAACATATCAAGTAAAACATATTATAGTTATTGCTTTCCTGCTATTTTAAATATTGCACCAGTCTCTATCATTTGGAGAACGATACTCCTATACACTCTCCCACCAACCCCTGGAACCTTTCCAGGGAAGAGACTTACTTGTACAAATAGATGACTCCAGATTCGCAGATGTGCGGTAGAATTAAACATTTGAAGGTATGCATTGCTGATTATATTGACGAGTACAGGAAAGCAGTTGGTTATTTCTGTGTGGCACATCAATGTGAACCTGTATTCCTTAAACAGTGCAAGACATGAGATTAACATCAAATATCAGAGCTGATTCCAGTTTCCAAAGGGTTTGGGCATCAACAAAGATTCATATGCCCTAAAAAGAACAGGATGACATTCTATCAAACTAAACCATCTGTCTTCTTACTTTATGCTTTGTTGGAGCCTTCCCACCACCACCACCCCCAAGCTCACTCTTGCGGAGCAGTGCCCTCCCCACTTTTCTAAAATCGTGAGAAGCCAGGGTCACCCTGAGCACTTCCTGGGGCCCCAGTTTGCATCTTGGAAAGGAAGGACCTGACATGGTGACCACCAGCTATCTCCATGCCAGGTCCCTTTTTCCTGGATGCCCTTGGTGCAGCAAAGGAGAGTTGCCGGGGGAAGTGCTGTGGACCACCCAACCCTGGGCAGCAAGCAGTGCTTGGAGGGGGATCACCTGCCATGCTTGGGCTGGAGATTTTAAAAACTCTCCTCTGAATCTCTCCAGCAGTTGCCCATATGGAGTATTTCCACCCTTTTGTGTTGCATTATACAGTATGTTGGCTTAAGAAGTAGAACATTTAGAACAGCAAAAATGGGACCAGCCTGGCCTCCTGTGGGAGGAGGGAGTTCCAGAGACTGGGAGTAGCAACAGAGAAGGCCCTCTCCTGTGACCCCCACCAAACACATTTGTGAGGGTGGTGTGACTGAGAGAAAGGCCTATCCTGATGATCTTAACACCCAGGCACACTCATAAAGGGAGATACGGCTTTTGAAACAGCCTGGAATCAAACTGTTTAGGATCTTATAGGTTAAACCCAATGAAAACTGCTATACTCCAGTTTGTTAGATAGCTTTTCCCCACTTATCCTGCTAGCTCCCGATAAGCTGGAATTTCACTCGACTGGCCAGAATCTATGCTCTTCCCTATGTTGAGTCCCTCACAAGACCTCCCAGAAAACAGGGCAGACGGCATCTACCTTGGTCCAGACTTGCCAAGCCACAAACAGGGCCACAGGTAAGAACAACTTTGGAATCCATGCAATGATTCTACCATCAGTTTGTTTGATTCATATAGGCATCTTCAGATTATAGATAGGGAGGTGTCTTTCTTCTTGTTTGTCTCTGTAAAGCACTTTCCACATTGCTCATAGGAATATAAAATGTGATTAGATTGGCCATGCATTCGTTTTCAATGGTGCTTTTGTTGTTGAATATTGGGAAATATAGTAACTGTCACCTTGTTTGTTACATCCACCAGGTAGCGTTGGTTGTATTTCACTTATATTTAGAGATAGGCATGAACCAGAAAAATGACAAACTGGGCCGACCAGGTAGCGTTGGTTGTATTTCACTTATTTTCTGAACCAGAAAAATGACAAACTAGGCCGTTTCTTGGCTAATGAAAAAAAAACACCACAAACCCCTCAGAAAAACAAACCAGTTTATGGGGCTAATGAAAAAAAAAAAAAACACCACAACCCCCTCAGAAAAACAAACCAGTTTATGTTTCATTTTTCCGGTTTGTGCCTAGGGCAAGGGGAACCAACCACCTCTGACCTCCCCCCTCAAACTGCCTAGGCTCTCACACAGCAATAAACACCAGCAGCCCACTTTTTCAAAGGGGTGGGAGCAATGTCACCTACATATATATTGATAGTATACTCCAAAAGAAACAACATAGCAAAAAGTAGTGAAATAGCAAAACACTACCTTGCCTTCAAGGGCTACTTTTATAGCGCCATTGTGTACTAGCTGGTCAGAGACACTGTTTCCAGACATGGTTTCCACCAGGATATTCTGACTCTTCACAGCACGGATAAAATCCTCAATGCTCGCACCTAGTTTTAAAAAATGAATTGCCAACGACCTGTGGATTACCACAAAATATTTCCCAAACAAACAGAAAAGTACAAAAATAAAGCCTAACACAGGACTTAAATCAGATTAATAATTGAATACTAATTCAATAATCCAATTTTCACCCCACCCATTTAGTGGCCCGGTCACTACTTTTGGTGGCTTACAATAAGAGCATCAACAACATAAACTAAATTCAATAATAAACAACAGATAAACATTAAACAAGGGAGCAAACAAACCCCAACTTAAATAACATCTACACTACAGTTACATGTATGTGGACGAGACTTTGGAGGAAATAACAGCAGTGGTGTCCCAATCTCACAGTGACAGCTCTTCTTCAGTTCCAAAGGAAAAGAGTCTTGGGGAAAAGGACATCACTCTGAAGAAATGATCCCTTTGAAAGAATCTATTTGTTTTGTGGATATATTTTATATCACTTATATGTCATCCCTATCTCCTGGTGCAGGGAAGCAAGGCAGCTTACAGTGCTAAAACATATAATACTACAAACACAATCAAATTACAGATTAGAAAGCAATTCAACAGCCATAGTAATTAAAAATCCATTAATAAATTAAAAAACATTTTTTTAAAAAAACACACAACTAAAACAGCAACAACAAAGCCCACCACATCCTATATTGCTTGGATCGTAAACAGATATTCTCCTCCCCTCAGAGTATGTTTCCAACAGTGGTTGCAGTAGGGAGAGCAGAAAGCATTTGAAACACAAAAGCTGAAGTTGTGATGAATGTGAAGACTGCACAATGGCGTTCTTGCCTGATGTGAGGTTGGTTATTTCATTTTTTGTCTAGATAGCCTGGCAGACAGTGATGGGGAGGAGTCAGTGGACATGGTGAACATCCATACCAACAAAATGGAAGACAGGTTGTTGCACTGGAAGCTATACTAAAGGCTGAAGCCAGGGAGTCAACTGCCAAACTGGTCATTCATCCTGGTTCATGGTCCTTCAAGGCTGAAGAACCAGGAATCATGAATTTCCTGCCTGTGAACCAACAAACCACAAATCGGTTCTTTGGGGATTTTTTTAGACAGCCTGAGACTGTCTTTTAAAAAAAAACATGGAGACTCCCACAACCTGCCCCCCGGCCCCCTTCCAACTGTCCCCATCACCTCCTTACCTTAGCCACTACTGTCCACATCCACAGTCTATGCTGCCACCTGCATTGTCACCATCATCACCCCGACACTGCAGCCTTCGTCACCATCCGCTACAGCCCGCACCACGTCGGCCTGTGCTGTAGTGGCCTGTGCCATGGTGGCCTTTGCTGCTACCATCCCCCTTCGCCTACTGCCACCACCATCCACCACGGCCCACTATGGAGGACTCTGCCATAAGGAAAGCTGACTGCCCTTTGCAAAGATGGTGGCTGCCACCATCTTTGCAAAGGGGGGGCTATTTCCCTTATGGAAGGTTGCTTTTTGCTAAGGTGGCAGTGGAGGGTGGAGGCCATGGTGGCAGGGCCAGTGGTGGCAGTCGTGGTGGTGGCCATGGTAGGGAGGGAAGGGGGGCCCATCAATTAGCTGTTTGGCAGGCCCATAGGCAGAGTGGGAAGACCATAGCCAGAGAGGGAAAGCTAGCCTTCCCTCTCTGTCTATGGGAGGAGAAATAAAAAAGCAGAAATATTCATCCCCAAATATTTGTCGGAGTTTCTGGAATTGATGAATACAAAGCAAAGAATATTAAACGAATCCGCTATTTTTAACAAATAGCGCAATTCATTTTTAAAATTCATCCCCATGTCTGCTCATAATCATGGGTCTCCTCCTCCAATCTCATTTCTCCATAAATTTTTGCTAGCCCCCCTCAAATCTAAGATAACCCATGATTTCCTCAGGTTTAATTCCTAATTCAATACATGTTCATTCAAAAGTTGTAAGGAAAGAGTCCACCTTATCCCTTTTATAGCATCCAGGAAATCTCTTCATGTCTATCTGAGATCTATTTTTTTCCATTTTCATCTCTTGAAGAGATGGCTGCCCATTCTATTTTCCTCATTTGTAATTGAAAGTCCATTTCTGTCTCAAACCTATCCGTTCCTTTTCCATTTTTCGTTATATTTCACAGATTTCCAAATTCTCTGGAACATCAAAACTGCATATGAACATAACTTAGTTTTCTCAACACCAGCTTATTCTGATTTAAGAATCTGGGTTTCCATTTCTGATTTGTTTTTGTCTTTTTAGGAAACATTTATTTGTACTTCTTTACAATTACCCCCAAACCTTACCTCAGGAAATATGTTTAAAATCTTCCTGACACTTATCTCTGTGTCCAGGGACTCTGACAGGCTGCTAGTTCTTACTTCATTACTTCTCAATATTCTATTCTGTTACCTTACCTGTATCATTAAGGATCAAAAGTCCACTGGTTCCCGTGAAACTTTGCTTTCCTGGCTCAAAATAAAGCCTAGGATGAAGCTCTACGTAATGGAGGTTCATCCAAATACCAAATGATGCTAACTCAGTGATAAAAGGCACTAGTAAAAGTCCAGAAAGAAGTAATCTGTAATGAAGCAGAAACACTAATTAGTTACAGGAGAGAGGGGATTTTTACCTGATTACATTACACAATAAAGTATAAAGTAAAGCACGATGAGAGCTACTGTGGGCCACACTGGATGTCTAATTGCTTGAAGAAGAAGGGCATGTCTCTACTTTCTCACTCTAAAGCAGTAATTCCTAACCTTAGGTTGCAAGATGTTCTTTGACTACAACTCCCAGAAATCCTGACCTGTGGCAAAGGCTTCTGGGAATTTTAGCCCAAGAAGACCATCTGGGAACCCAAGGTTGGGAAATAGTGCTCTAAAAGAATCTTCCTCGGGGCAAGGTATTGTGTATGAGGTCACCACAGTTCTCTGAGGCCTCCTCATTCACAGTCCTCACTTCGAGGAAGGGCTCCTCAGACTGAGCCATTTGGGCCTAATGGGCTCTATGGGGTCCTCATACATAAGTGGCTCAGCCAGAGGAATCTTTATAGCAAAGCATTAGCCAACCAGGCAACAGGTGGCTAGCCCAGTAATGTGGGAAATAAAACGAAACTTTATCACCTACCATAATACTTGAACCACAGTTTCGAACATTACTTTTTGAAATGAACTTACTGTGTTACTCATTCAGTTTAGACAGGCTAGTTATTGTCTCATCTGAAAAATCAATTTGTGGCATTGTGCATTTTTAATACTTTGTGTTGTCCTACCAGAAACTGATATAAAACTTTAAAACATTCCTGTCAACATGCCTCTAAAATGTCTTTAATTGGTCGTCTCATGAGAAGAGAAGACTCCCTGGAAAAGCCCCTGAAGTTGGGAAAGTGTGAGGGCAAGAGGAGAAGGGGGCAACAGAGGACGAGATGGTTGGACAGTGTCATGGAAACTACCAACATGAATTAGACCAAACTCCGGGAGGCAGTGGAAGACAGGACGACCTGGTATGCTCTGGTCCATGGGGGTCACAAAGAGTTGGACATGACTTAATGACTAAACAGCAACAACCAGTACATCAGAAAAACACAGAGAAATATTCTCTAGTTCTCTGTCTACTGCTTATTCTTTTTGCTTTTCTGTCTCTTGTTACTTTTCTTTCATGGATATCTCACCAAATTTAGAAAGAACCAGCCACTTACCACTTAGGACTGATAAGAGACTGGTATAAAACTTTAAAACATTCCTGTTGACATGCCTCTAAAAGGTCTTTAATTGCTTTGTAAAAATAATAATAATCCATCTTATATTAAAAAATCATCACGGTGTTATGTCACTTCTATGCTTTTGGTGTTTTCAGAAACAAAAATCTGAAAAAAAGATTAGGTTCCCCTCAACTATCTCAAGGCCAAACTGTATGAGACCGAGGCTACTATGCTTTGGGCATATCAGAGAAGAAAAAAGTCACTGGAAAAGAAAACAATGCTGGGACAAGTTGACCGCAGCTGAAAAAAAAGATAGACCAAATAAGAGAGGAATTGAATAAAAGAGGCCACAGCCTTGAGCTTGCAAGAGCTGAGCACAGCTATTATCAGGGCTTTTTTGAAGTTACTAATTCACAAATCAGAAGTGACATGATGGCACAAAACAACATTAAGAAACTTAATGTGCTATTAAGTTCATATGGTAAATATCCATATAATTACAGGTGGGGACTAGTTAAAAGCCATAACAAAATAGAATGGGCTGGAATAGAAACTTCTTAATAAAATAGATGCCTCAAACCTTAAAAATGTTACTCTTTCATTTATTGCCTCCAAACCTGCTGGAACAGAACACAGTGGCCCAGAACCGTAACTTCTGAGTAGAATAATCAAACCAAATTCATGACATATATGTGACTAGAAGAGACAGATGCAACAAGCTACAAATCATCCTTAAGAACAGCATTCCAGTACTAGCTCTGGACCAAAAATCAATATTGCAAAAGCAAACAAACAAAAAGCAGTCTAGAACAGCAACTTCTGAGTAGGATCACCCAACAAAATTCACCTGTTCCACCCAACTATAGGGAACTGATGCAACCAGCCACAAAAGGCCCCTGAGAAGAACATTCCACTGCCTGTTCTGGGAAGAAAGTTAATATGGGAAAAGCAACCTGAAATGGCAATTTCCAACTAGGACAGCCCAATAAAATTCACCAGTTCCATCCAACTAGAGGGGACTTATGCAACCAGCCACAAAACACACTCCCAGGTCACTGTTCCAGGTTACTTTTTAGCAATACTGATTTTGTGCACAGAATGGGTATTGGAATGGCGTCCTGAGGGTGCTTTGCGACTTGCTGCATTTGTCTCATTTAGACACGCTTGTATCATGAATTTGGCTTGATTATCCTACTCAGAAGTTCCTGTTCCTGGCCACTGTGAGTTAATGGAAGAGTAATTTTGTTTTAGATTTGAGGTCTAAAATATTGTTCTGACATTTCTCCATTACATCCCACCATTTTATCATATTTTTTTATTACAACATTCCCATTCCACTGCATTCCATTCCAGCTTTTATCCAGTCCCTTCTACAGCATGTACTCTCAACATGTGTTGAAAAGAGGATAGAAACTTACAACAACAACAATGAAGAGTTGACACTTACAGGGATCCCCAGACTTTGGTCTCACGCTTGAGATTTAAAAAGTGCATTCTTGCTATGGTACAAGCTTGATGCCTCCAGAGAGCCAGGCCCCTCATTGTTGCCCTTCCTGTGTCTGAAAGCAATGATTGGCTCCTTTCCATTTCTCCCCTCTTCTCTTCTCTGTGAAGAAGTTCATCATCTAAGGCAATTTCAAAAATGCAACATCAGAAATTTGGCAACAGGTTTAAGTTGTCTGCTTGCCCAAATGCCAAAGTATGGGGTCCCAGTGGGGAGATGAGAGCACTTTGCCCTTAAATGGCAAGGTGAGTGGCTCCCTGTTCAGACCATGAGTGACCAGAGCCCACACCTCTGTTTCCCTTGCTGCCACTGTTATACATCCATGAAAGACCATCCCCACACTGCTCTCCCAGATCTGAAAAGATGGGACCAACTAGTTGTGAATGAGCTACAATACTGCTAGGAGGTACATTATTTGGAATAATACATTACCTTCTGCACCAATTATTTCATTTCCCTCTAGCTTTAAGAAGACATCTTCCAGCGTTGTCATAGTCACCCCATAGTTTATGACTCCCAGATCAGTTCTGTGGTCCATGTCATTGAACAAATCTACATGACAGAGGAGGAAAATCCATGTGCATAGCTATGATTTGCCCTTATAGGTTAAAATAAGGATTTCAAATGCTTCATATTCCTGTAATTTAAAAATAGTAGTGGTTTCCTTTCTAAAATTAGCTTGACTATCCTTGTAAGAGCCAGAGATAAGATTAATTTTTTGGATGTGCAGTTAAGACAAGTTAAGTAGCAGAGATGAAAATAGCTACAACTTATTTGTTGATATGGACCATGTTTAGACTCTCAGTAGTGGAAAGGTTATGGAAACTTATGCTATGCAAAATGATCTTGACAAATCTCAAAACAAACTGGACTAATATGGATTGGGTCTAAATTGAATTGAGGTGGTCCAGATTATTATCTAAATTAATTCAGGCAAGCTGAAGCAATTTGGACTGATTCAGTAGCTCTGAAACTAAACTACAGAGAAAGAAAAACTGATTGTGTATTTCCAAAATAATATAAAGACATACTGTATCAGAAAAATGCAGTAGAGCTGAGCACAAACTGAACTATGAACTAAAAAATCCACAGAAAATAAGCTGGTTCACAGTTTGGTTTGTGGTTTGGTTCATGCATTCCGTTTTGTCGAAACAAAATGCAGTGCTACATTTTGCTTCAGGAGAACAGATGGCCCTGCCCCTTTCTTGCTTCCCACATCACCTCTCTGCCTGGTCCTGCCACCTCCTTCCCTTCTCCACCACCACCATCTTCAGGGAAACTGGCCCATCTTCCCTTCCAGGACCTGGGCCTCCTGTCTCTGCACATGCGCACACCTCTCATCTGATAGACTAGCACATGTGCAGAGACGCCCAGCCCAGCTTCCAAGAGCCAGGTTGGTTGTCTCTGCTTCCCAGAAGTGAAGCTGGACTGGGTGTCTCTGCACATGTGTCGGCCTATCAAATGAGAGGTGTGCGTATGTGCAGAGACAGGAGGCCCAGGCCACTTCCCTGAAGATGGTGGTGGTGGAGAAGGGAAGGAGGTGGCAGGACCAGGCAGAGAGGTGCGGGGGCAAAGGGAAGAGGGCTGTGTGTTACGTTCCCCTGTCCTCAGGCACAACCCAGAAAAACAAACTACAAACTGGTTCATTTTTCCAGGGTTCGTAGGTGGTTTGTGGTACGCTGCCCATGAACCACTCTAATTCAAGTGTTTTTCCAGTTCATGCCCATCTCTAAAATGCAGCGGTTGGCATGTCAGAGAAAAATGGCCATGCATTAAATGCATTAATAGCTTAAATATAATTAAATTATATTTACGTTGAATGGGGGACTTTTTCTCATCCCCATTAATTTTTAATTGCTGTTTAAATTCATATTGCTACACTAAAAGCCGCCTAGAGTGGTCTTAAGTGACTAGATAGGCGGGATATAAATAAAATAAAATAAATAAATAAATAAATAAAATGAAAGTGAAAAAAAATCATCTGTGATCTTAGCCCAACCCCTCCTTTCTATTTTAAGTTTTGGAAGGAAGGGATCAGCTATATGATTTTTTTGTAAACCTAGTTTTCCGCCAGCCCAGCAAACTCCTTTCTTTTATTTCCTACTAGTAAGTAAGTGGAAAGAAAGAAAGAAAGAAAGAAAGAAAGAAAGAAAGAAAGAAAGAAAGAAAGAAAGAAAGAAAGAAAGAAAGAAAGAAAGAAAGAAAGAAAGAGTGAGTGAGTGAGTGAGTGAGTGAGAATTTGTTGCTGAAAATAACTCTTCATTCTTTTTTTAACCTTCTGTTATTATTATTTTTCTATCTCACCCTTTTCAAGTTTTCTTATGTTGTCCCCTCTACGTTAAGGCTGTTTTTTCACCATTATATCTCACACCCCTTCCTCTTACAGCATCACCATGCAGCCCATCTTCATATCACAGAGATCGTTAGACCCCTGTCTTCCCTCCTTCCAGGCCTGCACTCTTCCAAATGCTGCACAAACCAGCTTAAGAACATTCCACTACTGCCTCTTTCCATGCACGACTCACTAAGAGCAACAGAACGGTGTTTCTTTATACACCGCTGGCTTTTTATTACTGATGTTTTTTATTACTGATAACACCATAATGCAGCAAAGCAACACACCAATTAGAAAATTTTGAGCATATTAAGGCAAATTCTAAAGGTGACTAGGTCAATGACAAATTTGAACCTGGTTTCTCTCTGCAGTTTGGCAGGGCTAATTCACTTTGAAGGGGAGATCACATTTCTAAATCTCAAGCACTTTTATAGAAAACCCCAAAAAGGTATGGCCATTTTGCTTTCTTTGTGCATATCAGTGGGAGGCACAAAAATCAGATTTATGATTTTGATTCACGTTCAGATCTAAATCAGATTGGCCAAGATCCAGAAGAGTTTCAACAAAATCAAGATCCAATCTGAGTCACCAGACAGTGCCCTGAACTGAATTGAGCACCTTTGCATAGTACTAATGAGGAAGACTTCCTGTGTTGTCAAGCATTTCTGCTGTTACAAAATAGTATTTTAAACTATTGTTTGAATGTGCTTTCAGCTGTACACTGCCCAGAGAACTTCAGTCATGGAGCATATAATAGATGGATCAAGTAATTAACAAACATTTAAGGAACACTTCCGCTGTTTGGACACATGAATAACGACAATACATTTTGTCAATTATTGAGGTTGATAATTACCTGGAAATTTAGCTACATTTTCTAAGGGAAGTGTATATCTCAGCTCATTTTCACGCTGTCCTGATAATTTTGCAGCAGGGATGTATCGTCTGACCAGGGATGTTGTTTTCTCACAGTCACATGAATCACTTACATGCATCCTGTTCATAGTAAACATTCATTTAGACACACATCAATGGCCAAATCTTGCACTTCTTTCTTTAGAATACTGTTTGACCCAAGTATTCAAGATTTACCCCCAGATCATGATTGTTTCAGTGGCACTAGAGAAGCACACATTATTCCATGTTTTTCCCCCCTGAAGTTTTGTGTTCCAGGTTTTGCAAAATTATGGGAAGAACTAGAAAAATATTCGATTAGGGGGCCTTTTTCTCAAAGCAGCAACTCATTTTAGCTTGTGTTCCTCTCCCTAGTCATGTAATCAATGTGGCATCATCACACACACCCTAGAAACTAATTACACAGGGCAGGAAAAGGACAATGCAATTATGTTCTGCCAGATCTTTCATTACATATGTGCAAGGAGAAAGACAGAGCTGTTTCAGTAGGACTTTTGTAAATCTACTTGCTTTTCTACTCCTTCAGTCTGTGTGTGTGTGTGTGTGTGTGTGTGTGTGTGTGTGTGTGTGTGTGTGTGTGTGTGTGTGCGCGCGTGCGTGCGTGCGTGCGTGTGCATGCGTGCGTGCACGTGCATGCGTGTATCTCATCATTTCCGCGTGCGCGTGTGTGTGTGTGCGTGTGTGTATCTCATCATTTCTTGCATTAGTTGCAATTTTTTAAGTTCTTGGGACCCTCCTGTGTCATCATATTGAAAACAAATCATAATAAGAGAATATGAGTGCTAGGAAATTGAATTCCACCGACACTTCTTCAGAGTCAAGAGTCTGATGGTCTTTTTCTTAATATTTAGATATTTGCTGTATTTATCTTTTTCTTGTAGCTTTTTCTTAATATTTTAGCTTTTTCTTAATATTTATATAATTTACTTAGCTTTTTCTTTTGTTTGTTTGTTTGTTTGTTTGTTTGTTTACTCAATTTATACCTTGTCTTTCTCCCAGCAGGGATCCAAAACAGCTTACGTTATTGTCAGGCATATTTTATTATCCACTCTCCAATGTTTTCAGCCCAATAAGCTCTGTCGAGGAGCCCAAGAGATCTTTGTCATGGATTGATCACCGATGAAAAGGTCACATCAAATAATTCTCTGAACACTAGAAGGTTAAGAGACTTATAAAGATGATCTACCCAAGGGGAAAGGATTCCTGCTGCCCCATGTCATGATCCTTGATCAACTTCTTGCAGTACTTCAAGTCTCCTATTGGAGCCAATTTGTCTCCCTTGTTTCCTGGTAGTACTGCCAGTGATGAACTAGTTCAGAATATATCTAGATCAGCGGCAGTGCAAAACTCATTATGGGTCCAATACACAGGCCAGAACCGGTTTAAAGAACTATTCTGTCACAATAATAGATTCATAAGCTAGAACAAGGAGGGTTGAATCAATTTACTTCTAGTCCATATCATGTTCCCTTGTGCATACTCATGCTTTTCATCATGTTTTCACATCAGGATTTTGTTTTTAAAAATTGCCCTCAAAATTCACATTTCAATATTATTTTGTCTTAAAATGAACATATTTAAACATATTGTGATATACATTTGTGATATACATGTGGGAAACCCTGACATCTGACCGTTCAGCCTGGAGGCAGGCAGTGCATCACGGCCTCTCCCAATTTGAAGAGACTCTTGCCCAGCAGGCGGAGGCAAAGAGGAAGTCACATAAGCAGCAAAACCAGGGAGCCGGACAGGGGACAGACTGGGTTTGTCTTCAGTGTGGAAGGGACTGTCACTCTCGAATTGGCCTCCTCAGCCACACTAGGCGCTGTTCCAAGCCCTCCATACAGAGCCCGCTACCATAGTCTTTCGAGACTGAAGGATGCCTAACTAACAGATATACATTTTTAAACTGAATACTTTCCCCCCAGCTACAGTAAATGTTGTCACAACATTTGGAACCTATGAAAACTTTTAGGCAAATGAGTCTTGATCTGCACATTTATCACCTCACTTCAGAATCTGCAAATACTGGATTCCTTATTCAAAAAGCCCTACATTGTCAACCAAGTCATTCACATTCATTTTAGTTAGTGTCCAGATATCACATGATACTGAGCTTTTTTCTGTTTGTCCCTTTTATTATAGATACATTCAAGCTTGCACAGCCTATGGACAAGGTTGTGTCAGGAAGGATGAACCAGATGTGAAATATGGATGAGAAATGAAGAATTTTTTTTCATAGAATAATAACTGAGTTGGAAGGGGCCCTATAAGGCCATTGGGTCCAACCTCCTGCATAATGGAAGAATCCAAATCAAAGCAAATCTGACAGATAGTTGTCCACTTTTCTCTTAAATGGAAGAATCCAAATCAAAGCAAATCTGACAAATAGTTGTCCACTTTTCTCTTAAAAGCCTCCACCATCTGCTCCCATTGTTGTACTGTTCTAGCAGTTCAGATTTTTCCCACCTGATATTTAGCTTAAATCTGGCTTCCTGTAGCTTGAACCCATTATTGCTGCTTTGCAGCTTTCTTGCAAAGCACTACACATGCAAACACCAAAGTAAACACTAACAGTAAAGGGGAAGCTAATCTTTTGTGATACAACCAGAGAGCCACTTCGGGCAGTTGGAAGCTATAGTGCCAGCTGCTCAATCTACAAGTGGCTGGACAGCCAGCCTGAACTACACCATGACCAGGAATGCCCACACTTCCAGTTATCCCTCCCAGGGGTGTTTGTTTGTTACCCTAGTTAGGAAATACCCCAGTGTAAAACAGAAGCACAACGCTACAAAACTTAGCATACCTTAAATGATAGCCGATCCCCCATTTTTTCTTCAGGAACAAAGAGGAACCAACACATGTCAACCTGCCATGTGAGATAAAAGCTTTCCGGTCTGGAGAGAATTAAAAAAAAGAAAAAAAACACACATACAAAAAGAAAAGAAATACAAAATACAAAAATACACACATACACACTGTATATATGTATATACTGTCCAATAGTAAAAGTCTTTTTGGGCATTACACCTTACAGTGTGTGTGTGTGGGTGGGTGGGTGGCTAAACAGAAACATGGAAATACATGTAAATCCCACCCCATACCTCCTGGAAGTCAGCAAAAATTTTCAGCGACTAGGGTGTCAAACAAAGGTCTCCCCAGTTCTCTTGTCCAGGAAGGACTGGAGCCACCACAAGAGTTCCTCCAAATCCCATCCCAGAAAGATGGCCCATAAGGATACCATGGACGATGGTATCGAAAGTCACTTAGAGGTCCAGTAGAACCAAAAGGGACACACTCCCCCTGACCAGTTACTAGCGTAAGTCATCCACCAAGGTGACCAGAGCAGTCTCTATCCCATAACTAGGCCTGAAACCAGCCTGAAATGGATCTAATTAATTTTTCTCATTCAGGAACCCCTGATCTGAACATCATCCTGTCCCAAGCAACACATCTTTGCGCCTTTTCCCTTATACTCCTGCTTTTAAACTGATTTATTCCATGGCACTCTACTCACCAGCCAGAATGTCGGCTTCATCCATGAACTGAGTAGTGAATAGAATTACTCGACCTGCTTTGCGCTCGTTCAGAAAAGACCACACCCGTTGTCTGGAATAAGGATCCAATCCTGCCGTCGGTTCATCTAACAGTAAAACCTGCAAGCAAGAATGTGCTTGGTTTTTGTTTTGTTTTCTGTTATTCATTTACACTGAGATATCAGCATTTAGCCTGCAGTGTGGGCCTTAATTATTTTTCTCTAGGATGATATGCATTATTTTGGCTTTTTAGAAGTATTTCAATAATTTCCTTAGGCCGAATCCTGTTAGGTAATTGCAAAGCATTAGCGCTTCACATGTACTACTACTCTGTACTTATAGTTGCACAACATAGAAATTGTCCAGTTGCCAGGAGAGAGATGTATTTCTCCAGGAATAATGTAACGTTCTAAGGCAGTGGTTCTGAGTCTTGAGTAACTGAAGTGCTGGTGCTGAAGGCTTCTGGGAACTGCAGTTCAGGAACACCTGGGGTACTCAAGGTTGGGAACCACTATCCTAAGGTTTCCTTCCTGTGATACCAAGTATTTGGAGATACCATGATTTTGAATGGACAGTTCACAGTCACTAACTTTACAGTCACTAGCTTCCTCATTTGTTGATGCAGGCAATCCAGCTGCCTGCATTTTGGCATCATTCTTATGACAGAGGGGACTTCCAAATTTATCATTACACCACTGGGTGACATTTATAGCTTTCTGGAAGGGTAAAGCAAAAGAAGGCCAAATCTTCTGGGAAATCTTTCGGCTTTTTGTATGAGTCCTTTCCCTGCTGAATAGAAAGAACCCACAGAATATATATACTGTACAAAAATCTTTAACCACATAACCTATGACAGAGTGAAGATCTATGCAGATCATCAATTAGAAAAGAAACACTGCAACCATTAAAGGTTATGCTCTTAGGCTACATATATGTTCAACAAGCTTTTTACCTTTGGCTGTCCCAAAAAGGTGATCGCCAGGGACAGTTTTCGTTTTTGTCCACCGCTTAATTGATTAGCTCGAGTGTTTTCCATGGCATTAATATCCAAGAGGGTCAATAGTGTTTGAACCTGAAAAGAGTATAGATAGAATACATAAGCCTTAAGATGTTGAGTTTTCCTTCCTGTCTTGCTTTTTAGGATTCTTGATTGAGTGAAAACTACAGGCTATGTGTCCATCTATAGCTTACCTAGGCTCGATTCTCAAGAGGATATTATGCAATTTCTCAGAGTTGAAGTTTTTGAAACACAAAAGTGTTTCCAGACTAATTGCTGTCTTTAGAATTGACTGGGTGTGCATCAACCCTATAAAATTGTAGCAGTTTGATGCCACAGTATCTGTCATGGCTCCATCCCATAGAATCCTAGAGTGTGTAGTTTGGTGAGAAGCTTAACATTCTTTGTTAGAGAGCTATAACACACAACTTCTGAATAACACCGAGCGCTCTCTCATAGAAAACTCCAAGTACCAATCCAAACTAAACACTCCACAATTCCACAAGATCGAAGCACTACATTTAAAGCATTATCAAACAGTATAACTGCAGAGTGGATATACCCTGTTTACTCAAACAGGTTTTTGGGGAAATCCAAAAAACCTTGCCACTTCTAAAAGGTCTGGTTTGCACCACTTGCAAGCTATTTGCACCACTTTGCCAACTATGCCATTACAACGACAGCCTTTACACTTGGACTGGCAAAGCATTTGGTCGAGAAGTGGTCAATGAGGCCGATGTGTTGATCACCTTGAATTCCCATTTGACACCACCATCCGTATCTGTCCTGCACTCATCGTCATTTGAAAAGGATTAAAACTGCAAATGGACGATTGGAACCAAATTCAGCCCCTCCCTTCACCCCTGTCAAACAGATTATCAGATGGATTTTAATCCACATTTCTTGTTGAATAACACTTTGGCATACCAGTCCTAGAACATGGTTCTTCGTGATATTATATTTCAGAAGTTAGTACATTTCTCAGATTTTCTAAACTGGCATTTCATTTTTGTGCTACTAATTTAAAAAAAAAATACTAAGCAAATGTTCAGACATTTTTCTTCAGCTACCACATGTTTTGTACATGTTTTGGATAGATATTCATCTAGGAGTTTGATCTCAATACACTTACAAGTAATTCTGTAGACCTTCGTCTGCTTTACTAGGAGGGGTGGAAACATGGGATGATATTTATACCCTTCATCCATGTGATTGGGTTCTTTCATAAGTGGGGGCAGGCCCAGGGTTTCGGCGGGAAGAATAGACGGTGAAGAAGTGGCGGGTACAAAAATGGTTCTTTATTATGCTTAACATCGGGAATCCCCAAACCAAACGGGTCCAACAGTTCAACCTCCAGCAACAACTTGTAACATTTCCCCTTAACTGTTCCAACATTTTTATCATCTTTCACATTTTCCTCACTCCAAGGGTACAACAGGCCCAGGGTTTCGGCGGGAAGAATAGACGGTGAAGAAGTGGCGGGTACAAAAATGGTTCTTTATTATGCTTAACATCGGGAATCCCCAAACCAAACGGGTCCAACAGTTCAACCTCCAGCAACAACTTGTAACATTTCCCCTTAACTGTTCCAACATTTTTATCATCTTTCACATTTTCCTCATTCCATGGGTACAAGTCATAACTTGGTTCTGTGCAGGAGCGCTCAGCACTGTGCATATTGTCCCGCAGCATAGGTGTTTCACATATCTCCCCTCCAGCCATGGGAGATAACGACTGGAACCATAGTGGGTCTCCTTCGTCCCCAAAGCCTGTGAATGAGAGGCTGTTCCCATGTGCCATCCCACTCCTGCCTCGTACTTATCTTTCTTAATGATATTGGTGGGAGTAGGGAGCAGTCCTCCGTCAGTCATAAGATTTGGAAAGTCTCTTAGTAGTTTCGCCAATCTATCCCTTTCTTCTCCTGTCTCATCCATCTATATCCCTCTCTCCTCACGTTCTGTCTGTCTCTCCCCTCTCTCCTCCTCCTCTTTTATCTCGTCCCACCTCAAGAGATCTAACTCCTCCCCCTCATTCTTCTGCCTGCCTTCTGCCAAGAACACTTCTACTGCTCTTTTACTCCCTCTCTCTGCATCATCAATCTTAATCAGCTCTCCCACAACGCAGCCCTCCTTCACTTCAGTCTGCTCTTTCCTGGAGGAAGGCACACTTTTCGTTTCTCACTCACAATCCATTATCCTTTCGCACAGTGTGCATAATGACTAATTAGGGTTACAGATATCAATGTACAGAGATGCTTGCAAACTGAGTATAAAATTAACAATTATCGCTGACAAGTTGGTTCTGACTTATGCCAGTCCTTTCCAGGGTTTTCTGAGCATATAGAACATACAGAAGTGGTTTTTCATTCCCTCCCTCTGGTGGCACTCGGGGACTGTGCAGTTTGCCCGTAGCCGCACAGGATGGCTCTTTTCCAGAGAGTTGCAGTGAGAAATCAAATGCTCTTACCTCATTCCTCAGCCTGGAACTCCAACCCAATGAGCTAACTGAGAGATGCATACCTCATTTTCTATTTCATTGGATGGCACTCCTTTTATCTTAGCAAATGTCTTTAGATTTTCTTTCACTGTTAGAAATTCAAATTGAATGTTGAACTGGGGGCAAACAGCACTTATGCTTCTAATATGCTCCATATCTGCCTTTTCGGATATATTGTACTTGAATATGGATGCAGAACCTTGAATACACAAGCAAAAAGAGGGCATGGTCATTTGTAAAATTACAGAAGCTAGGAATGATGGGACTGAATTGTGCAAAATTCTCTTGCTTATGAAAAATCTTGGTTCTCCAAAATATTGTAACATAAGAATATGAGAAGAATAATGCTGAAATTAATGGAAATCCTAGCTAGTCCAGCATTCTGTTTACACTGTGGAGACCCATAGGCCCCAAGAAGAAGTCCACAAATCCTCCTTCCTGTGTTTCCCTTTTGGGATGGAAAAATAAGAGTATGACGTGTGATCAATTGCCTGGAACGGGTAACATGGGAGGTGAAATAGGAACAAGGCTCCAGTTTTAAGTACCCTGTTTCCCCCAAAATAAGACCTAACCTGAAAATAAGCCCTAGTATGATTTTTCAGGATGCTCGTAATATAAGCCCTACCCCAAAAATAAGCCCCAGTTAAGTGAAACCCCGCCCTCCACCATTGTGCAGCAACCAGAAGAAGATGACAGGCCTGTATTTGAATAAATGTAGATGGTAGTACATGAAAAAAAAAAACATCCCCTGAAAATAAGCCCTAATGCATTTTTGGAGCAAAAACTAATATAAGACCCTGTCTTATTTTCGGGGAAATACGGTACGCTTGTTTGGAAGGAACAATGAACCTCATTCTTCACATAGTTTTTTAAAATGGCATTAGGAACCACAGGATGCAGTGATGGCCACCAGATGAAATTGATTCCTAATGGAATTATGTCAATTTATGGAAAGAGAGGGGGGAGAGTCTTTGTCACCAGCTACTAGGCGCCATTCTGCCTCCAGTGTCAAAGGCATCATTCCGCAAGACAGCAATCACCAAAAGACAACTGAAGAAGGCTATTGCCCTCATATCCTGCTCATGAGCTTCTCTTGGGCATCTTGGCTGGATACTGAGAAACAGGATGCTGGTTTAGGGAGATCTTTATTCTCAAGCTGCTAGGCTTTTCTTATGTAAACACATTGGGGGCTGGATTGTCAGTCTACATTATATCCAAGTCTTCACTCTTACCACCAGATGGCTTGGAAAGTCCACTCAGAATGTTGAGCAGTGTAGTTTTTCCAGCTCCACTGTGACCAAGCACTGCAGTGATCTGGTCTTCAAAAATATTCAGGGACAAACCTAACATGCAAGAAACGGCATTCACTTTTAGAATGATCGAATGCACTCTGATTGTGATTCTAGGCAGTCCATTTGTATGTGAACAAATCTACTGAGGCTTATTTCTCTGTATTTATAAATACGACCTACTGAGGTTTACTTCCCCAGACTAAAGTGCCACTGAGAACCATGGGATTTCTTGTGAACAAAACCTGAGCACAGAGTGCTGTCCTCTGAAGATGTCGGCCACAGAGACTGCCGAAACGTTAGGAAGAACAACCTTCAGAACACGGCCAAAGAGCCCAAAAAACCCACAACAACCAATGTTTCTGATTTCCTTCTCAGCTTCCCGACCGCTGTTTCCTTTAACGTCACATCAACCACAGAAATGCATTTAGCATTCTCCTCATTCAGATTTCTTTCTGTGTTTTGCAATTTTGAACTGTTCACTCCTTTCCTGCTTTGCGAATAAATGAGCTAGTAATTCTCCAGTGTTACAATTTGCTTCAATTACCACATTTTATATCGTGGAAGTTGCTTATTTATTTCATTTCCTTCAGCTCATTTGTTCTTCCCCCTACACATCTTTCAAGTATTGATATGTACGTGGAAATTGATAGAAAACAGCCCACAAGGGTTCTGTTTTGACCTGATCGTGTATATGATTTATAGCAAGAAATTTCAACAGGAGATTCTGTGACAAAATGTTACTTACACAAAAAAATCAACCATGATGCAATTATTTATACAAGATTCCCTCACTTCTCTACAGCTTCTGGGATTATCCTAGCAGGTCTGGTGGCTTCAATGCTGACAGAAAGTATTTTGGTTCTGCTTTTTGCAAGATACTCTCCTTCCTTGGAAATCTGCCCTACATAACATGGCTTACTGCTCTTAGGAAAGCTCAAATTGACTTGGTTTATTCTCTGTAATTCCTTGCCAATTTAAAGTGTTGCACATGAGCACATTTTGGGGTAAGGCATTGGAAAACCCAGATATTTATTTGAGACTGCTGCATAATACTGCTCTCTGAAAGCAGAGCAAAATATTACCACAATTTAAATGGTTTCAGACAAGTATTCACAAAGTTTCTCATTTTCTGCCATTTTCCAGGTCTCTCCATGCTGAGACACACCACTGAAATATTGGCATGCACAAGCAAGATTTCCTGGCTTTCCAAGAAAACAAGGGCTTGCTCTGGTTTTCTTTCTTTTTGTTTGTTTGTGGGGTTTTTTGTTTGTTTTTCTACACAAGAAACTGCCAAATTCTCAGCAGCTTAATGCCCTTTCCAAGAAATCTTGCACAGGAAAGATACTTGGTGTTTCTTCACCTCTGTCTAAGTGAACCCTGTGAAGAAAAAGAAAGTCACTCTGTACAGGAATTGTAATTTCTCCTGTGCAGCCTGGGATTCCTTCCAGGATAAAAAGTTGACTACAAAAATTCAAAGAAATTCTACAACATTTATCAGGGGGAAAAACACTGTACACAGAAATCTTGTTGGGAGGAGAAAAGGCTGTTTTTTCTGCCTCAGTTTCTGTTCAATAGCAGGAGGCTCTGTGTTTCACTTTCCTAGTCTGAGAAACAGATTGCATATCCACAGTGCGTATAGTGTAACTTTTTTCACAGGTAAGAGTGTCAGGCCTTGCACTTAGATAACTGGCACAGTGTAGTTTCACAAATAATGATGAAAACTTCGAATTTCAAAAAGTAAAAAAGTAAGGTTTTATTTCCCCCAAAAAAGATCCAAGGAGAAAATTACAAGTATTTTAAAATATTCACCTCTCAAAGCTTCTGTTTTTGTGGTCTTCACTTCATATGTTTTTTTAATGTTGTTTAGCCTAAAATAGGGAAAAGCAAATAATAGTATACAGTAGTATGTTGGGATCCTAATCAAAATTCACACAATCTCCTCAACACAATTGCTTCCACAGAAGGAGGCTCAGCTGTAACTATGCTGGCTAGGGATGTAGTTGATCACTTCTCGTGCCTTCCTATGCAAGGATAAGAAGTTGCAACATCCTGTTCCTTGCCCATGAAAAGGACAAGGAATTCCCAGACTCTTTCAACACAGTTCTCACATTGGCAAGAAGAGTATTGTGCCCCTCTCCACCCAAACCAACTTTGAGTAAAATTATCCTCAGGTTAGGCGGCCCACTACTTTATTTAAGAATCTGAATCAATCGTTGTGTTGTACGCCTGTTAACAAACTGCCAGCCTGTCTGAAATTGCATTCGCTTTTGCTCTCCCACATATGGTGCATTTTGCTTTCCAAAGGGAAAGCATCCTAGAGATATACTGTGTAAATTAGAGACCTGGGAGGGAAAGAGATGTCTCTTTCTTTCTCTCTCTCTCAACTGAAGTCAAAACTCCTTAAATGACAAGAATGAGGACGACACCCCCACACCCCCACCTAAATTGAGTAACTAAAGAAGTGAGAAAGAGGAATTGGGTTCAAACTTGGGCCACAAGAGGTCGTGCAGCAAAGCTAGGAACAGGAGCCGGTGGACCAACCAGACCCCTCTCCAGCCCAGGGGAGTCTCTTCCCTCAGGGTGGTGCTGTACAAGGCCAGCCTTGCCCTAGTCAGCTCAAATTCGAGGAGACATCTCTAGGCCCATTTCCCCACTGATTTTCACGAATTGAGGGTGTTCAGCCCTGAAGCTGCCTCAGAAATCTATCCCTGCTTGGGCACCTGAATCACATGATTTGCAGTACCCATTCACGTTACTTAATTGCCAAATGGTGTCCTATGGGGCTCACCACTATCCCCCCTCCCTGCACTATGAGCCACATTTTGACATATTGAAATACAACACCACCCCCACGCCCATCGTGCCCTGTGAGAATCAGAATGGGATAGGCAAAAATCACCTAGAGTGCTTTTGTTCAATACACATTCAGGGAACCAAGCCTACAATTCCTATCTAGCCTCAAGAGGCAACCACACATCCTTCTGGCTCACAGGGCAGGTGGGTGCAGGTCATTGGTGATAGGGGACAGAAGGGGTCTGTCTTGCAGTGGGGGGGGCTCTCTTTAAAAGGGTTGTGCTTCTCCCCAATGCTGGCATTGCTGTGACACCTTTATGCTGCATGCTGATACTCCCCTCTCATCACTGGCAAGGGGGAATGCTCCCGCTCCCACCATCTGCCTGGTCAGTGAGATGGGCAGAAGCATCAATTTAACCAGGGCCCCTTCCATTCTTAGTGCTGACATCCAGCCACCTCAAATTCAGGTCAGAATCACCTTCTAATATCCAAGAGCAAATAGGCTCTACTTTCCTCAAGCATACACCCAACTGGCTGTCATGCCTAGTATACAAGGCAAAAATAGGCTCTACTTTCCTCAAGCATACACTGTCATGCCTAATATGCAAAGCAGTTCATACACCTAAATCTTTTTTGTCAATCTGTATCTTTCTGTTGTAGGATCAAACCAAATCAGACTGGACCCAAAACAAAACCCAGCTATTTTCTCTGACAGCCCATGGCAGCGAAATCCGAACAGTCAAAGGATTTGTGAACGAAAGATATCGTCAAAATGCTAAAAACATCTACATTTCCCATGTACCTGATGGCTTCCTTCCCCTCAAGTTCAGGAGGAACGGGCTCTACATTGTCATTGAAGATACTCCCTTGTTCGTTTGCCATAACACCTTCTGCCAAACCGCTTCTTGATTTAAGCCAGTAAGACTTCTTCAAGAAAAACAAAGGAGGATAGGGCACTCCATATTTGTCTGATAAGTAAAAACAAGCAAACAGCAAGGCTCTTCTGAATCACAAGGTACTGTAGATGTTTATTCTTGGCACTGAACTGAAGGTGCATCTCTCTTGTGATGGATCAGTCCCCTTCTCTCCTTGCACAGTCTCAGTGACTGTGGCAGGAGGGAGGGGAGAATCTGATGTTATTATAAGTTATTACGAAACAGTTATTCATGGAGATCTATTGAAGGACAGGAGAAACAAAGAGCACTCCTTAGCCATGACCAAATGTGTATTGATTGGCCTCATCTGAATAATCTCACCTCTGCTTATAAAGATGTCAGATGGAAATGAATTAAGATCATTTGGACCAGAATAATCCCAGCTAAGGAATTTTGAACTCACACCAAATTCTGCTGGTGCAACTATGCCTTTGGAAGAGTGAGAGTGTCACCACCAGTGGGCAATTTTCAATAATTAAAAAAAATCATCTTTCTGTCCTGCAGCTTTCATGTGGAAGGCATTGGGACCTAAGGACGGAAAAGGGAAGTCTTTATTTACCTCAGGTTACTGCTGCTGGACATCATTAGCAGGGGGCTGATGCATTGTGCAGAAGCACAATGCAAGAGATTACACAGGCGTCGGAAAAGTTTCTAGTCAGAAATAGGGAGTTTTTAATTATCAGTCATTGCTTCCTGCTGGTAACATCATCTTCCATAGAAATAGGTTATATAGCAGCATTCCAGCCTATATACTCTTAATACTGCTTCATTGGAAAAAAGAAACAGCTTATGGATCTAGGAATGTGGTGATAAGAACATGCAATCATCAGGAATACATCTTCAAGCTAGCATGCATTAATTCAAATGCGCTTACCAGGGATAACCTTGTCAAAGTAGAGAGTCAGCAATATATATAAAACACTGTCCAATATCAGAGCATAAGTGTATGGTGCAGACATTAAGTCAAGAAAATTGAAAGGTCTTCCATATTTTTGAAAATGGAAAATCTGTAGGAAGAGAACAAAGACTATGTTCCACTATATCAAACCAGAACAGGAAAGGTCAACAGCTTAGGAAACATAATGAATCGTTCAGCAAGGATGCTTCAAACAGCACTTTTATTATGCAATAATCCTGCCTTATTCAAAAAATTCATCTGAAGCAGCAGATGACATCAGATGACTACCACCACCACCATCATGATCGTTATCATCATATCTACCATTTTCCTATGTTTTTTTCCACCACTCCTTCAGATTTTTGTCTTACAAGAGTACAAGAGAGAAAGGCAGAATAGCTCCACAATGACTTTTAATTGCATTGCATGGAAATAGGCTCTTGGAAGCATCTGTAAGCATTGCTGCTCTGAATCTAATTTGAGGGAACCCCATTCCCTATACACACCAGCTTGATCACTAAGATTTGTGGAGGCAATCCTTTTCCATGTCCTGTATGAAGAATGTACCACAATATGGAGACACGGGGAGAGCTTTCCCAGCTGCAGCACTCGGTTAAGGAATAGTCTCCCCTTTGCGGCTTGACTGGGGCTGACACTAACCTCATTTTGGCACCAAGTTAAAACATGGTTATTCACCAAGGCCTTCAGGAATTAAAGTACTAGGCTGTGGAGGCTTCCTTATTGCTATTGTTTTAAATATATGTATATTGTTTGGAATGTAATGAATGTTTTTAAAATATTGAACTATCCTTATATTATTTTTATTGCTGTACTCTGCCTTGAGATGATAAAATACAGGGGATAGATAGATAGATAGATAGATAGATAGATGGATGGATGGATGGATGGATGGATGGATGGATAGATAGAGAGAGAGAGAGAGAGAGAGAGAGAGAGAGAGAGAGAAGCTCTTAGTAACTGAAGCATGGATCATAACCTAGTAAAAGAGTCAAGTTCATACAATGCACGCATGACCCTTTCATATCCATTGACAAATTTTTCTACATTCCTTATCCAAATAATTTGAAGAAAGAAAATAACTGTGTGATATTATGGCTGGGATCTCCTTTGTCATGGATCTGGAATTTAACAACCAAGATGATTCCTGTGTGGAATTCTCTATCTATAATAAAACAGGGGGGGGGGGCTATTGTGAGCGTTAGAACACCAAGATTGTGAATACTAGATCCCTAAAACTTGACTAGGACACTAACAACACAGATATTCTGTGGCTTGGAAAAGATACTAAAAATTTTAAATTAATTTTAATGCATTAATGTGTTTGAAGTTCACACTACAACATTTAGTCATTAGGATGCTTCCTTGACAAACACATAACTTTGCAGTCGAGAGGATGAAACAAAGGGAAGTAGCCTGAAGGGCACAGTTATATGACTATGCCATCCCTGCTTAAGCACAGTGGGTTGGTTCCTCCTTCATGGGGCTGTAGAGGCCCATAACAGTTGTGGGCATGCCCAGAATTGCCAGTGATTGTACTTCACTCAAAGGGGACAGATGCTACAAGGTCTCTAACTTTCACACCTGTCGACCTTTTCTTGAATTCTCTGGCATATAGTGTATCTAAGCACTAGTCTAACTTGTGCAAAGCCAGGTAGTTCTGCTAGCTGCAGATAAAGCATAACACTCTACCTTTGCAATCCCAGTCCCGAAGGCAAAAGGGCAAAAGATGCTCAGAATCCATTCCAAAGCAGCTGGAAATATATTGAGAAATGACCCAAGACTGAGAATTCCAAAAATAAAAATGAGAAGAAAGACAACAAGGGAAGTGGCTTTAGGCTTCTTTAGAAGTGAACTGATCACAAAGCAGAAGCATATCTGAAAAAGAAGAAATTCATCAGTTTGCTGAATGAAAAGACTCTGTTAGTAGCCTAAGGTATGTTCTGGAGATGGGCATGAACCTCCAGCTCATTGATCAGCTGAACAGGTGTTTGTCACTTCAAAGCTCCTCCCCCTCTGGTGGGTGCCCACTCAGAGGCAGCACCCGGAGGTGTTGGGGCAGGGACGCCAGGCCGCTGCCTCCAAATGGGCGCCTGTTGGAGGAAGCCGGGCTTTCTTAGCGGCTTTATTAGCTGCCGGCTGATAAAGAAACCAGCACAAACTGCTGAACCTGTGGTTTGTGCCCATCTCTAGTAAATTCTAATGAAAATATATTGTGCAAGCCATCAGCTGACAGACATGAGTGGATATGAATACAGCAGGGAAACACAGCTTGTTTACACTCCTATACATCAACCTCTGCAAAAACAGTATGTATACTTAATTTATCATATGGAAATAGGCTTGGGAAATAGGTGTGGGTGAAAGAGTCAGTTTTTAAATGAATGGATGGATAGATGGATGGATGGATGGATGGATGGATGGATGGATGGATGGATGGATTCGATACTACTTCATAATTGTGATGGGAAGAGATTGAAATCAAGGTAGCACCACGTTTTTCTGAGATACTCCTAATTTTTACCAAAAAATATGGCAGACAAGTATTACATGGCTCCCAGCACTGAAAAATGCAGCCTGCAAAAGGTCAATGAACTCTACCCAACCACAATGACCTGACACTGCACACAAAAGACTAGCTAACAACACCCGTCAATCACAGTGACAGACCATCTTCCCACCCCCCTTTACCACAACAATACACCCATAACAAAAAAACACCCTGATCACTATAATCATCCAATCTCCTGAAAAGGACAAAAAGCTGATCCTACAACTACAAATACTCAACTACACTACACCAGAACACAGAGTTCTAACTCTTGTCCTCTGAAGATGCCAGCCACAGAGACTGGTGAAATGTTAGGAAAAAACACCTTCGAAACACAGCCAAACTGCCCAAAAAATCTACAACAACCATCAATATCCAATAATGTTTTCTTCTCAGCAGTGAATGGAAGTTATCCACAGCCAGCCAGCTAATCCACTCTGGGTATGCTTCTGCAATGGATATGAAAAAGATATTTGGGCAACTTTGAGAAACAGGCTTTGTATATCAAGCATTTTGCTCACATTAACTATAGTCGATCAAAAATGCTTTAAAAGTTGATGATATAAACTTGTATCTGAGGTGTGCCAAGCTCTGCATCTCCTGACTTTTAGGAAACTATTAAAGATGGAAGTTTATAAAGCAGCCTTCAAAAACATATCCCCTGCTGTTACAAAATTGTAATTTTTAAATTTATTTTTGTTGCTCTTTTGTTTGGTTCTGTAGGTGGGTGGGGGTTTGCCAGCCTATTCTGTAAACTACCCAGAGTATTAGGTGTCACTAAGTGGCGCAGCATACAAGTTAAATGGATGAATGAATGAATAAATAAATTTTACAAATTAAGCCCATGGACTTACGGACGACATGCCATAAAGGTAGAATAAGTAAAACATGGCAGAAAAGCTGCTCTGTGTAAAATACACATTGTTCAACAGAAGCGTCAGCAACAAGGATGAAATCAAAATGTGTACAGCATACAGCAAACCCCAGGATAACCTACAAATAAAAATATTGTGTTAGCCATTTGAACTTTGGCACATGATTGGGTGATGAATAAACACGAAAGAAGAGTACACTGCAGGCTGTGTTTTTTCAACATGGTACTGAATATAAGATATTTAAGCATTCTTAATCATCCCAGACCATCCCCCTTTTCCTGTGGTAACTAATGATGTGGAGAAGGAATACGGAAATTCACAATGGATGTATGCTTGAACATTAGGGTAGAGCAGAGTAAGATTGCCCAGGGTGGTCACAAATTCCCATCTTTATTATTAAGGTGTATATATATGACATACATATATATATATATGACACACACACACACACATATATACATATACACACACACACACATATATATATATATATATGACATACATATATATATATGACATACACACACACACACACACACACATATATATATATTTACAGTATGTATAAAACATATAATCTTCAAACCAGATTCATATCTTCCCTTTCTTTTTTATATGAAGCTGTTGACTCCAGCTGAGAAAAATAAATCACAGCCAATCTCGTAACTCACCAGAATGCGGTTTCTCGTAGACCCATGCTCTTCATCACCTCTTTCATTTTTCTTTTTTCTCTCGAAACATTTTGTGATAAGAAATACATAAATGGAGACATGGAAACTAATATAGCCAAAAAGAACATACAGCTTTCAATGTTATCTGTTGGGACAAGAAATGGAGATCCCATCCGGATACCACCAATGGATTTCATTTCATCCCAAACTGAATGATTGGTGATATGCTATGAGAAAAGAGAGAGAGAGAGAGAGAGATCCAGTGGAGGAGGGGATTAATGAAATTCCTTTAGCAGTTTATAATTCCACCTTTTTAATGTGCACAAATAAAATCAGAGTTCTCACAGCTTCCTTATCGTTATCAACCCCATGAGGGAAACAATAATCATGCTTCACAAGAAAATTTCATAATTTGATAATTTTTCTTTTGTTGTCTTTCATAAGTGTTCTTGTGAACACGCACTTGCCCTGTAATCACCAAGGAGAAATGGGAGGCAGGAAAAAGGGTTTCCCTCTTTGAGGTCCAATGGTGAGGGTGGAGGGACATTAATGGACTACGTTTCCTTCCTTCCTCCCTTTCTTCCAAAGAAGGGCTTTCTCAAGCCAACTGATGCTTCCCTGTCTTGAACAGAGTCTGAGGTTTTGATTACATAAGGACTAGCACCTGATGCTGGTAAAAATATAATTTGATATGGGGACTAATAAGATAAACAAGACCAAAAATCCAAATGTTTCAAATGGCATAATGATGCAAACCAGCTAGAAAAGACTAGTCGTTCAAAACAAAGCAATTCTACTTACTTCAATAAGAGCACTGTCAATACTAGACTGTAGTGATAGAAAGCCCTCAAACCAGTATCTTGGACTGTTACAAAAATCTGATGAATTGTCGTAACAAATATCTAGAAGCAACAGAAAAGAGGAAGAACAATATGTCCAATGTTATAAGTCAGGAAAACCACAATTAACGAGGAAATGGTTGAAAATTTATTCAAAATATATTGATGGGCGCACCAAACATGAGAATGAGTTACTTCATCTCAGTAGATCTGGTACGATCAGGAGGAACACACATGGATATGCTCTCAAAATGTGTTCTTCACTTTTCTAACTCTAGATTATCTAGTTCCTTTCCAAAAGAGTACAGAAACACTACAAAATCCACTTCCAAACTGCTTGCTGAACATTTTGCATTTGCTTTTTGGTTCCTTCTGTTCATTGGTGTCTTCCTCCCTTTCTACAATTCTAATGCCTACATGGACACTAATAACAGATTGCAAAAAAGCAATAATTTTGGTATGATAACATATACAGTGGTGCCTCGCTTGATGACGTTAATTCGTACCAGCAAAATCACTGTAGAGCGAAAACGTTGTCAAACGAAATTAAAAAACCAATTGAAACACATTGAAAACCGCTCAATGTGTTCCAATGCGCTGAAAACTCACCGTCCAGTGAAGATCCTCCATAGGGGTGGCCATTTTCCATGCCTGTGCAACGAGGAATCCGTCCCTAAGCACAGCGGGGGGGCCATTTTCTTCAGCCGGCAGCCATTTTGAAACCCAGCAATCAGCTGTTTGCTGATCGTCGTAAAGCGAAAATCGGTTCCCGAAGCAAGGAACCGAGCATCGCAAAGCGGAAAAAAAACCATTCAAACCATCAAGCGGATTCGTCGTTAAACAGGGTAATCGTAAAGCGGGCCATGACTGTATAGTGTCAAATATCCCAAGGTTCAGGGAAGCCCACACTAGCCACTGTGTCACACTACCCTGGTGATCATGTAGCACCATCCGAATTCTATCATCTGCATATCTGAGGTTGTTGATATTTCTTCCAGCGATCTTAATTCCGGACTGGGATTCCTCCAGTCCAGCCTTTCGCATGATGTATTCTGCAAATAAGTTAAATAAGCCGGGGGACAATATTCATCCTTGTCGTACTCCTTTCCCAATGTTGAACCAATCAGCTGTTCCATATCAAGCTCTAACTTTTGGTTCTGGTCCCACGTATAGGTTTCTCAGGAGGTAGATAAGGTGATCAGGCAGTCCCATTTCTTTAAGGACTTGCCATAGTTTGCTGTGGTCCACACAGTCAAAGGCTTTTGCATAGTCAATAAAGCAGAAGTAGATGTTTTTCTGGAACTCTCTGACGTTCTCCATAATCCAGCGCATATTAGCAATTTGGTCTCTAGTTCCTCTGCCCCTTCAAAATCCAGTTTGTACTTCTGGGAGTTCTCAGTCCACATACTGCTGAAGCCTAACTTGTAGGATTTTGAGCATAACCTTGCATGTGTGAAATGTGTGCAATTGTACGGTAGTTGGAAAATTCTTTGGCACTTCCCTTCTTTGGGATTGTGATGTAGACTGATCTTTTCCAATCCTCTGGCCACTAATGAGTTTTCCAGACTTGCTGGCATATAGCGTGTAGCACCTTAATAGCATTGTCTTTTAAGATTTTAAATAGTTCCACTGGAATGCCATCACCTCCACTGGCCTTGTTGTTAGCCATGCCTTCTAAGGCCCACTTGACTTCACTCTCCAGGGTGTCTGGCTCAAGGTCAGCAACCACATTATCTGGGTTGTCCGGGATATCCAAATCTTTCTGGTATAAATCCTCTGTGTATTCTCGCCACCTCTTCTTGACGTCTTCTGCTTCTGTTAGGTCCCTATCATTTGTGTCCTTTATCATGTTGATCTTTGCACAAAATGTTCTTTTAATATCTCCTATTTTCTTGAACAGATCTCTGGTTTTTCCCTTTCTATTATTTTCCTCTATTTCTTTGCACTGTTCATCTAAGAAGGCCGTCTTGTCTCTCCTTGCTATTCTTTGGAAGTCTGCATTCAATTTTCTGTAACTTTCCCTATCTCCCTTGCATTTTGTTTCCCTTCTCTTCTCTGCTATTTGT